TTCATCTCCTCCTCATCGTTAGAACTTGCTGATTCATATAAGTCCTCTTCGCTGGAGCTGTCATTCAAAAAACCTGTAGCAGATGCCGGAATCACAACAGTAATTATATCAAGGGTCTTCAAACTTGGCAAGTTTAAGACTTGTGGACTTCAATTCCCAGAATTCCTCCTCCAGTTATGTTAGCTCAGGAGTTCTGTCAAGTTTGAAGACCCTTCATTTATATGGTGGCTGGTTGAGTGTGGCTTTTTTGTTGTTGATTGGGATGTTGATGGCCGGCTTGTTTCCTTGTGCTGCCAAGCCCTTGGGTCCTGAGTACCTGATAAGCTGTTGGTAAATTAGCACTCCTGTTGATTGACAAGGGGCCTCTTTCCCAGACTTCAATCATTTCCCTACTGAGTTTCTTGGTAGTAGGAAATCAGCAAAGGCGTTCTCTCTTCATCAGTTCCACAGCACTTTGAGCCACACAGCTGGAGATGTTTCTCCTCAGGCTTGAACTAGTTTATCTACTATGGGAACCATCATTCTAGGATCAATGTATATTGCAAACCTAAAATACCATGGATTGTAGGCTTTGGATACCCTGCTGCTCTTGGGACTTTATCCTCCTACAGCCTCACTCTTGGGATAAAAGATTTTTCTTTCTTTCTTTACACTTGAATGGATGTCTGGCTGGTAATATTGGTATCAAATGGCCCAGGAAAGAAGGGGAATTATTCTCCAAGACACATTGGCAATAGTGCAATACACTGCTTTCTTCCAGTACTCTGAATTACATCAGACATTTCCACAAGCTCCTGTGGAGATCAATCTGACCCACCTTTTTCCTATGGGGAGGCCCCATGGTGCTGCCCTGGAGATGTAAACAATTCATCTGATTTATCAAGACCACAAAATACAGAAGGTTCCATTTTAAGCAGGGCTCCCCAAACTTGGCAACTTTAAGACTTGTGGACTTCAACTCCCAGAATTCTCCAGCCAGCATAGTGTTAAAGTTGCCAAGTTTGCGGACCTCTGAGTTTAAGGATCTGGGTTTCATGCTGTGTTATTCAAGTAATACATCCAGTCCAGGTTGTTTTGAACACCTAGGAAAGTTAAACAATAACCCTCTCTTTGGTAAAGATGCCCAATATATGCCAGCTGTCACGAACTGTTTTGAAGGCAAGAAGTTGGCACAGCTCCTATAGGAGTTCAGTTATTAAACCCAGACCCCAATTATGATAAATTAAACAGGATTTAAACCATCTTCTTAGGAAAGTTATTCTGAGTGGTGAAATGTGTGTCCTGGACAGAAGAAAGAATCTTTTGGGGGAGAAAAAGATCCTAAAATAATTCAGAGTTTAAAGAATCTGTGTTTTACCAATTGCAAAGCAGCCCAAACATGTTCACATGTCTTTTTTTTAACTTCCTAGAAAGGTCCTGAAACAAGTATAAAGAACATGAAAAGAACTGGCTCTTATTGGTATTAATTAAAAGCTAATGGGTAGAAATGTGTATATTTAATATTTCAAAATAAAAAAAAAAGATTGGCATTGGTAATTCAATAGTTAGAATCATTCATCCTAATGGAAACATCTCAAAAAACATCTGTGGTACAAAGAACCACCTTTGGCTTTTCCTACAGCATCTTTATCTTGAAATTCGACTGTTGGATGTGACATCAAAGTAAAAGTATTCACACTTAGCTGATAATTGTTTATTAAAAAAAATGAAATCTCACTGGTCACATGAGCCAGCGGAAGCTTTTGAAATGATTGTTTCATATTGTTATTTAAAGCAAAGCATCTTAAAAGGAAGGTGAGAACATAATTCTGTTGGATAAAATAACGGCTTCAACTACGTCAAATGCATTATATCAAGAAAGCAAAGCAGGCTGAAAAATGCTGTACAGATACACTTCCACAGGAAAAACAAACATGTTAATTATAGCAAAATTGAAATCAATTTGCAACTAAACCTCAGTGATCTTCAATATATGTAAAAGCATCCTTTGTTAAATTGACAAATTCAGCAGACTGATGCAAACATGCTCAAAAGCAAACTACTTATTGCATGTAAATTACGCATATATTCTATATGACGCCAGGGACATTTTTTGTTCTGACAGACACTATAGGAAAAATATTTGCACAAGCAGCTCATAGAACTGAAATATACCCTTCTTAAATAGTAAATTATGCTATGTGGACCTAAACGATAGAAGTCACATGGCAGCTGTCGGTCTCATCCAAAAACAGAGTACAGAAAACATCGTTGAAGAATGTTGGATGATATTTGCATGCTCTTTCACAATCAGGGTTGAAATTGACCTCTAGAATCTGGGGTTGCATATGTTGCTTCCCTAGAAGACAGAGAAGTAAAAAAATACCAGGTGAATTATAAAAAAGAAAAGAAAACAAAAGCAAGCAGAAACTGGCCCTAATCCAGGGGTGTCAAACTCAAGACTCGGGGGCCAGATCCGGCCTGCAGGGTGCTTAGATCTGGCCTGCAGGGCCGGCCTGGAAACAGCCAAGGACCGGCTCGCGGTGCCTTAGCCAGGGAAAACGGAGCTGGAAAAGGCCGCACGTGGCCTCCTCCGAGCTCTCTTTTCACTGGCAGAAGATTGCAGGAGGCCATCGGAGCCGAAAATGGAGCTCGGAAGCCCGTTTTCCCTGACAGAGCCCCCCCCCCCGAAACAAGTGATGTCATGCTGGCCACACCCACTCTGTCCACAACCACCCCGCCCTCTGAGATCAAGCACAACCCTGATGCGGCCCTCAATGAAATTGAGTTTGACACCCCTGCCCTGATCGGAAACGGCCCGGTCACCAGAAGATGAAGCCTATCTCTGAAATTCACTGAGGAGGAAGGCCCCCGATCGATTTTCCTCCAGCCCCCCCCCCCGGTCCCAGCGCCGCAAAAGGAATCCTTTCCCCTCCATTTCCACTTCTCCTGGAACAGAA